GGGGGGGGGGGGGTTGAGTTTAACAGGGTAGTGGTCTCCCTCAGAGTGAATTTTTCCTAGTGCTTTCGCGCGCACTGGACGGTTGTTTCGACGCCTCTCGGGGGACACAGGTAGGGACGATGGTTTCTGAATGCCTCAAGTGCCGAAATGTTGATGCTATTGTCGTTGTCCGTCTGTCTCTCCTCTATCTCCCTTTCCCTCTTTCCTTCTTTCTTCCTCTGTCTGTCTCTCTTGCTCTGCCTGCCTGCCTGCCTGCCTGCCTGCCTGCCTGCCTGCCTGCCTGCCTGCCTGCCTGCCTGCCTGCCTGCCTGCCTGCCTGCCTGCCTGCCTGCCTGCCTGCCTGCCTGCCTGCCTGCCTGCCTGCCTGCCTGCCTGCCTGCCTGCCTGCCTGCCTGCCTGCCTGCCTGCCTGCCTGCCTGCCTGCCTGCCTGCCTGCCTGCCTGCCTGCCTGCCTGCCTGCCTGCCTGCCTGCCTGCCTGCCTGCCTGCCTGCCTGCCTGCCTGCCTGCCTGCCTGCCTGCCTGCCTGCCTGCCTGCCTGCCTGCCTGCCTGCCTGCCTGCCTGCCTGCCTGCCTGCCTGCCTGCCTGCCTGCCTGCCTGCCTGCCTGCCTGCCTGCCTGCCTGCCTGCCTGCCTGCCTGCCTGCCTGCCTGCCTGCCTGCCTGCCTGCCTGCCTGCCTGCCTGCCTGCCTGCCTGCCTGCCTGCCTGCCTGCCTGCCTGCCTGCCTGCCTGCCTGCCTGCCTGCCTGCCTGCCTGCCTGCCTGCCTGCCTGCCTGCCTGCCTGCCTGCCTGCCTGCCTGCCTGCCTGCCTGCCTGCCTGCCTGCCTGCCTGCCTGCCTGCCTGCCTGCCTGCCTGCCTGCCTGCCTGCCTGCCTGCCTGCCTGCCTGCCTGCCTGCCTGCCTGCCTGCCTGCCTGCCTGCCTGCCTGCCTGCCTGCCTGCCTGCCTGCCTGCCTGCCTGCCTGCCTGCCTGCCTGCCTGCCTGCCTGCCTGCCTGCCTGTCTCCCTCTCTCACAAGCACTCTCTTACCATCTCCCTTCGTCCTTTCTTTCTTTCCATTTTTCTCTATCTCTCTATCTTTCTGTCTGTGTGTGTGTCTGTCTGTTTGTCTGTNAGATGCCGAGATAAGGCAGGAGAGCAGGTTTGAGTCACCAATCAACTGTTTGTTTGCTGTCGTACGTACAGCGCAATAACTCAGTCCTCCAGCCGGTGAGATGCATGTAAATCTCTCTCTCTCTCTCTCTCTCTCTCTCTTCCTCTCTCTCACACGCACACTCTGTTTCTTGTCCTCCAGGCGAGTACGACGTCAACGTCGAGGCCGAGCCCAACTTCGAAGGTGCCCTGGTTCTCCTCCAGCCTCCCGCGGACAAGTCTCTCGTACCCTTCGCTGGGGATCGTGTGGTAAGCTAACTAGCCGCAAGGACCCCATCCTCCAAGTTCATACTTGAGGAACATTCAAAACGTGTTTGCGAGTCAACGCAGGTTCACGAGAAAACCGAACGTGAAATATCGTGTGTTGGGGTGGCGGGTAGGTAAGGAACACCCCCTGAGATGCGAGGTTCACGTGCACGCGGCTCAGAGTATTTCTTTGGCTTATTTGGAAAATAGGGATACAATCAACGATAGTGTACCCGTTCGAGATTTATCCGTACTCAAAGGGAATGTGTTGAAGTCTTTGATTTTGCTTGATGTGGCTTCCAAGGACCACCAGGTTGCTGTACAAATAATCCGTGGATCTCTTACGTTTGTGTGTGTGTGTGTGTGTGTGTGTGTGTGTGTTTTTCCGTTTCCAGCTGATCCCTTCGACGGAAGAGGAGGCGAGCTACTTCTACAAGCGGAAGTTCAGCATTGTGAACGGCATGCACACCGTCCTGGGCTTCATGACTCTCCGCGAGAAGGCCCCCGGGGTGAGAGCGACAGAGAACAAGGACAGAAGTTGTTTTTTCACCGCTTTGGTGCTGATGATGTGTGGACGTGTTGCTGGTGAATCTCCGTAGATTCATCGCTGTTTCTTGCCGCGTTTGGCGTTGTCGTCGACAAGCGGGCGTGTTCGTGTTTTCGCAATGCCTCAACTGTTAGACCGTTGGCGGGGGCGGCGGGTCTGTGTGTGTGTGTGTGTGTGTGTGTGTGTACTCATAGTCGTGCATGCCGTAGTCGTTGGACGGCCCGG